ATATGGAAGTGTGTGTGTTGGGGGGGAGTGTAATTAGAATGTGGTTAAGCAGGAATGAGGGTTGTGGTATGTGTGGGGGTTGGCATTAAACACAACCAAGAATGTATGAAAAGGTCTTATGCTTTGTAGAGTTATTTAAAAATAGTTTGAAAAGGAGTTTGAACAGTGGCATCTTTAATGAGTAGACAATGTTCTCCCAGAATACAGGGTTTTTTACATGAAAATCTCAGTGTCGTGTATGGGATACCTCCCTATGAGTTACTGGTCAGAAAAGACCCAGAGGGATCCCAAATAACTCGTTATTATCATTGTTTTTAGTTGCTCACCATAGCTAAAAGGTAGGACCCTATTGATGAACACAAAGAGAAATCAGATTGGAATTGACCTGGAAACTATCTAGTTTTTACAGTGCTATAGAAAAGTTTACAGACTTACCCAGTGGTGAGTCCTACATACTATGCTATGATACTACCCTGACAAGCAGGATGTGCCCACTGGTGTAATAACTGCATGACTGTTATGAGGTAACCGACTGCTTTTGGCTTGGATCTGAAGCCTGCTCCAAAGCAGGGAATTCATGTCTGGTACTATAAACCTGGTAAAAAGCTCATGGCTGGAGATGTCATAATAGGGGCATACCTACTATTGCCAATTACTTTCTAAATACTATATACATGGATACTGTTGTTAACCCTGGTCAGAGAAGGTTCAGTGCCAGCAATATCATAACCGATTAAAGTGTTGAGAGTTAAGTGACTGTCTCGAGTACTCAGCCTAAATAAGTCATTTATATCAACTCCCCTGAGGGTCAGGAACCATCCTGAAAAGAGAAGCAGAAAGAATGTAAAAGCCAGAGTATGGAAAGACTGCTGTGAGATGCTGTTTTCCAGACATGACATGGGCATTGCACTAAGCTCACAGCACTATGGCTACCTATACAAGATCAAACCAGTCAACCCTCCCCCCCCATGGATTAGAGAGTAGCGAGTAAGACATCACTCCTAACTGCAGAGTTATTCACAAGTGATGGTTCTTGGGGGAGTAGGAGTCATCATTCTTTGGGGGTGTGGCTACTTGGAGGCTGACCATGGATGGCTCCACATCCAGGCACACATAAGCGGACCCAGTGAATTATAAAAATAAAACAGGACATGAAGGTGGGAGGGGAAGAACTAGAGTTCAGGAGGAATGGAAGGAGGGAATTGTGGGGGGTACTTTGATCAAGACACATTGTATACACATAAAATTGCCCCAAGAATTAAAAAAAAAAAACTCTTTAAAAAGGTGGCTGGTGTGGTTCAGTGATAGTGTTTGCTTAGCATTCGTGAGTCATTGGTGTGATTCTCATCTCTGAAACAAAGAAAGCAAGGAGAAAAGCGTATCTGCTGAGCTTCCCCAGCAGCAGCTGTGTGCTACACATCTTTTGTTACGCTATGTGCTTCTATTACTCCTCATGACACCACTACCTGCTGGTAATTCCTTATGGGTTCCACTGAAATTGAAAGCTGAACTCAACCTGAGTAAATGCACAGTGGAAGGCTAATGGGAAGGATGGGGCTCCAAGTCAAGGGCTGCCTTTAAAGCTATGGACTTTCATTAAATATGTGGAAGGTATGGAATTCACAGAGATGGTACAAAAATCCTCATATTTTATTCACACAGTTTGCTTTGGAGGACTGAACCCTTGTTTCCAGATTGAGGACTACTAGGTCTTCCAAAGAGACAACAAAGACAATCATTTAAAACAATCACTTTATTAAAAATAGCAAATCTCACAAGTACTTATTAAACATTTGTCACTGGCCATTGGGAAACACACCTCGGTGTGTACTGATTGTCTGACATAAACAGAAGCTGGACCACCACAGGACACCTGTGCACCACCAACATACGACCGGCGCTGAGCCAGTGAGTGATGGCAAGGACAAATCCTTTAGCCTGACTGAATGTTTAGCACAATGCATTTCAAGTATAACCCTTAAGGCAACAGAAGCAAGCACAGCAGCACAACTCTGTATCCCACTTCCTGGGGAGAGCTCCCCAGTGGTGGATTACAGCAGCGCATAGACTGAAGCGGCGTGTGAACATGATCACTGCACTTGCATTTCATGACTCAGAGTTTGTTGTGGAAGATGATTCTGCTACTGGACTCAGCTGGAAACATAACGGCTGCTGCTCCTCTGCACATCCTGCAGAGCAGGCTGCAGACCGCTTTAGCTGCTGGACGCATTGGGAACGTCCTGTGCATCTGCCAAATGCAGTTTCTGTCTGGAGTCATCAGTTAAGAAGATTTTCATTTTAAAGCAAGGACTTCTTGTAAATTTCAGCAATTTACACTTAGTAACCAGGAAACAAAAGAAATGGGGTAAGTGAAAGAGGGAAGAACAGAGGGCGATCTGGAGAGGCTTAGGGAAAGCTATGGTGTCACCAACATGTTTGGACAGGAGCTCACTGTAGAGAATTATGCCATGTGTATAATTTGAAGCTTAAAAACATTTATTTAGGATCTAGTTATATAGTCTCAAATTATAAATCCTCCTGCCTCAGCCTCCAGTTCTGGGGTTATAGGATTGTAATAGATTGTAGCATCGGGTCTGTCCAGACTTATTTTTAATACAGCAAAAATCATTTCTGTGACAAGGAAGCAGTGGAAGGAAAACATTAAAAGACTAATCGGATTACAACCCCTTAAAGATGCTATTTTGCCATGTTCGGCAAAACAATTTCTTTTTGAATCTCAAACATGAAGCGATGATCACAACTCTAAAATCTTTTCTATAATCTTAATCATCCCTTTCATTTTCCTCTTAGTCCTAAACTGTTCAGCCGTTGGCACCTTTCAAGGTCCTATTCACACAGTGATCTGAGTAGTCTAAGGACAACTGCACATCAGCAGTACAGCCAGACAGCCAGACAGCCAGACAGCCAGACAGCCAGACAGCCAGACAGCCAGACAGCCAGACAGCCAGACAGCCAGACAGAGGCATGGCCATCCAAAGCACTGTCTAGTTGGGAGGCTTGAGATTTAACACATGGGGAAAAAATCACTGGACAGTAAAGTACGGTAAAAGAAGCTGAAGGGGAGGGCAACCCCATAGGAAACCAGCAGTCTCAACTAATCCAAACCCCAGGGAGCTCCCAGACACTGAGCTACCAATCAGGCATCATACAGGAGCTGGTCCAAGGCCCCCGACACATGTAGAGCAGAAGACTGCCTGGTCTGGCCTCAGTGAGAGATGACACACATAACCCTCTGGAGACTTGAGGCCGGGGGACAATGGCTGGATGGCTGGATTGTAATAGAGGGAAAGAGGGAGAGAGGGAGAGAGGGAGAGAGGGAGAGAGAAGAGAGAGAGAGAGAGAGAGAGAGAGAGAGAGAGAGAGAGAGAGAGA